GTGTGTGTGTGTGTGTGTGTGTTATATAAACATTGGATGGTGTATGGAAAAATAAATACATTTAATAAAGAAACAATATTGAACAATAAGTAGAATATATTAAAGTAGTGACTGTAAATTAAACTAACGTGAATCAACTAGTGGTGAGGTGTGGAGCTTACCGTATGTGGCATGCCATCACAGCAGGCGACTTTAAGGGAAATTTAAAACTGCTGGCTGAGAGTAAACGTAAATTCAGTAAAATCATAATTCACGTCGGCACCCGGTAACGCCAATCGGAGGTCACTAAAATCAGTATTGAATCGGTGTGTAACTTTGCCTGGTTCTGCCGGAGGTTTCTTCCTGTTAAAAGGGAGTTTTTCCTTTCCACTGTCGCCAAAGTGCTTGCTCCATAGGGGGTCATATGATTGTTGGGTTTTTCTCTGTATCTATTATTGTACAATCTGCTATACAATATAAAGCACCTTGAGGTGACTGTTGTGATTTGGCGCTATATAAATAAAATTGAATTGATTTGAACTGTTCTCCACAGAACCAGCCAGGGTGTGCTCTCAGTGGCAGGGGAACAATACGAGAACAGCGCCACCACGTCCGGAGACGGAACAATACTGGAAGAGCATATGGGAGAAGGATGCAACCCATAACGGCAATGCTCAGTGACTAGTGGATCTGAGGGCAGACCACAGCAATCTCCCTGAACAGGGTCCAGTAACCATCACAGTGGCAGACATCCAAGAAAGGGTCTCCAGTATGAAGAGTTGGACAGCACCAGGCCCCGACATGGTTCACGCCTACTGGCTGAAGAAGCTAACTGCACTCCACAAGCCCCTGGCAGCACAAATGAACCAGCTTCTAGTTGACGGGACACACCCAGAATGTTTAACCGATGACCGGACAGTCCTGAAGGGACCAGTCCCATCCAACTATCGACCAATAACCTGCCTTAGCACCACGTGGAAGCTCCTGTCAGGCATCATAGCAGCTAAGATGAACAGGCACATGGGTCAATACATGAGTGGGGCACAGAAAGGGATGGGCAAGTATACCCGAGGTGCAAAACACCAGCTACTGGTAGACCGAGCAGTCAGCCGAGACTGCAAGACCAGACTGACCAACATGTGCACTGCCTGGATTGATTACAAGAAGGCCTATGACTCAATGCCCCACAGCTGGATACTGGAATGCCTAGAACATGTTCAAGATCAACAGGACCCTAAGAGCCTTCATCAGAACCTCAATGGGGATGTGGCGGACAACACTAGAGGCCAACTTCAAGCCCATAGCACAAGTCACCATCAAGTGCGAGATCTACCAAGGGTTAGAGGAGAGTTAGTTAAGATGTCTGAAGTGGATCTCAAAATAAAGTTTCAACAGTCTTACTTTTCCACCGGGGACTTCCAGGACTAGGGCGGGTTTAATATTTCAATCCAGGGAACAGGTAGGTAGCATGGTGGAGGCATGGCAGGCAGTTACGATTTGGAGGACATACTCACCAGTTCTAAAAGCACGAAAGAATGCAGATCAGGTGTGAGGGGAGGAGTGAAAGTCCAAACTCCACCTCGAACAAAGAAGAAGAAACAAACAAAAATTGTGTTATCAATTTGCCTCAGTGCTGTTGCAAATGTACTTGCTAGAAAAACTACTTTATTTAAAAACCTATAAGCTTTACCTTGTTACTATAGAATTACCACTGTTTAGTAGGTAGTGTAGGAGGCATCCTAGTCAGATGCCCGAACCACATCAACTGGCTCCTTTCTAAGTGAAGGAGTAATATCTCCACTTCGAGCCCTTCTTGTACTCTTCACCATACCTGTAAAAAAGTGCCTGCCTCTCTTGGTTCCCACGTGCAGCATGAAGCAGGAAAATTAATGTGTTTGCAGAGGAAATACTGTTTTTCCATCTTAAACTTTCCACCAGGTACCAAACCAGAATATAAAAATGACAAAACACATAAAAAATATAAAGTTGACATTATAGATTAATTAAAGAAGCTGTCAATAACAATGCGCTGTTACGGTTGGAAGGAGGACTCAAGCGCAGGACTCCGGTACTGATGCTTACAAGAAGAGTTTATTTACAAGTCACCAGGTGTATATACAAGAATGTGCAGGGGGGTGTTATATACAGCTGAGTGGGGGAAGAAGGGGTCTCCAGGGAAGTCCAAGGGAAAGCATACGTTCTTCAGAATATCCACTCACACGATCACAGGTTCACACTCCAACACTGCCACACGGGAAACACACGGGGAAAAATCCAAGAGGTTCTGTAGACAGGGAGACAGGGTTAAGGACGATGCACAGAGGAAAACACTCTTCACTAAACTTGCTGTAGCTTTGACTTTACTAACGCGTTGTAGACAACGACCCAGCGACGAACAGCAGTCACCTCCTGGCTTAAATGCTGCTCCCCTTAATGAGACACCTGGGTCTCATCTCCCGAGGGCGTGGGCCAAGGGCATGAACCCACAGTGAGTTCCGCCCGGCGAGAGAGAAGAGGAAGAGAAACAGAGAGGGCTGATCAGCGTGCAGCTGATCCGCCTGGCCGTGACATGCGCTCCAGGAGATTTAGTGAGATTTAAAGTGCTCATCTTGTTCTACTTGTGAAGGTTAATGCTATAGACTTAGAAAAATGAGAATCATTACAGGGAGAAAGGATTTTTGCTCCTCCCCTCTCAGTGCAGCAAAAAACTATGCAGAGAGCACATATATATGAGAAACTGAACTGGCAACATTAAACTGACGCTCAGCAGTAGTTTGTGTATCAGATCTTAGCTGTACAAAGAAAGGACAAGTTCAGAGGGAGGGGTTAGAAGCAGAATGAGATGAATAGAACAGATTAAAAAAAGAAACTAATCAGCATTGACACAGAATCCCAATCACAGACATGACAGACAAAAACCTGCTAGACAGCGATTCTCTGCTTGGTGAGTACACTTTAAACAGTAATTTTTATTGTTATAGTATTCAACTTCACCATAATTTTAAAGAGTGCCAAAGCTCAAAACCAGCTGTTTGACCGTTTATTAGTTATTAATCAGCATTTGACTATCACTATGTTTCATCTTTGCATTTTCCGCTTTTTAGCGCATGTTTTGTTCTGTTAGACAAAGGTTATGTTCAGTCTATGAAATACTGGAAACTGTGTCACTTCATGAAATATATTTTATACAAAGTTCACCTGAATGATGTATATGATTTCCTTTAATGATAACCCTTTCTCGATGACTAAGAACAAACCACAGTTCAGGGAGAAAAGCATAGTAAGAAGACTGCATGTCTTTAAGAGAGCTGTGAGATAGCCATGTGTATCAGTGGCTGTCTGCTTTCCTATTATCAGTTCAGTAAATATCCATATTTTTAATGCGTGCTTCAATGTCTTCCTATAAATAAAGGATATAAGATGATGTTTTCTATTGAAATAGCTTATCCCAGTTTTAAGACTGCATTCTAAATTTTAAATTTAGACTGTTTTGACATCAAATAACAAAAAAAAAAAAATCCAACTGGAAAGATCTTGAATATGGATTTGTTTAGAACACCAATAATCTTTTTGTCATCTCTGTCAGATGCAGAGAAACCAGAGCTCAGGATGGTGCTTGTTGGGAAAACTGGAGCTGGGAAGAGTGCTTCAGGAAATACCATCTTAGGAAGCAGAGTTTTTCAATCTATAGCATCTGCCTCTTCTGTGACATCAAAGTGTAAGAAGGAAACAGTGGAGTTTGAAGGTCAGACTCTGACTGTAGTTGACACTCCAGGTCTGTTTGACACCAAACTTCTTAAAGAGGAGGTGGTGAAAGAAATTCTTGGATGTATCTCATTATCTGCTCCTGGTCCTCATGTGTTCTTGATTGTGATCCAGGCTGGGAGATTCACAAAAGAAGAAGAAGAAACAGTGAGAATCATTCAGAAGGTGTTTAGTGGAAGGTCAGGAGATTACACTATGGTCTTGTTCACCTGTGGAGATGATCTGAAGGCTGATGGAGTCACCATAGAAAAAATTATCCATGAAAATCCAAATCTTTGCAGCTTCATCCGTCAGTGCGAAGGACGATATTATGTGTTTAACAATAAAAACGAGGATCCCTCTCAGGTCAGAGAGCTGCTGAAGAAGATCAACATAATGGTTGAGTTAAATGGAGGAAGTTATTATACCGATCAAATGTTCGAGGAGGCTCAAAGAGCCATAAGAAAAGAGATGAGACGACTTCAGACAGAAAATCCAAAGATGGATGTCAAAGAAGCAAGAGGACAAGCAGAGGGAGACAACTCTTTCATTCGAACTGCTCTAGCTGCTGCTGTTTCTATTGCTCTTGCTGCTGTTGAAGCTGCTGCTGCAATAGTGGAGGGTCCAGCGGCAGCTGCAGTAAGTGCAGCAGCTAAGGCTCTTCAAGATGATGCATGCAAAATACAGTGATGATAATAATAATTCTCATTTATTTGCTGCTCTTTAAAATTTATATGCAGATACTTGGAAATAATCACTGTAAGATGTATTTTAATGTCTTTCTCTCTCTCTCTCTCTCTATTATCTTAAACTTTGTAATTTAACTGATTAATGAAATCTTCATTTTTACTATTTTTGATTATCATGTGAGTAATGGGACATTCTTGATTTCAAAACAAAACAAAACAATCAGGTTATGTAAATTGTTTTTATGCTGCAGATGTTTGTAGTCTTGAATGATGGATTGTGCATTTTAACACATGAACATTTCTGTTGTCTCAGGAGCTGAACCAAAAGAAACTGTAATCAGTGATGTTTGTGTTGAACAAAATGTGACATTGACTTTCTTTCTTTTAACATGTTAAGAAATATGAAAAATAAAATGAATTAAAACTTGTCAAACTTGACAAAGTGTTGTGCATTATGTTTGCTTCTTAAGTCATCTTCTTGTAGTTGCTTATGGAAAAAAACTTACTAAATTGTAGAACTAATAGTTTGCAATACAGGGCTTACTTAAGTTCAGAGGTTATCAGACTGGAGAGCAGGGAATAAAGCCAAGATTGTAAGTATAAAATATTATGTTATTATAAATATTATTGGTCATAATTGCTGGGTATACCTGGCGGGGTACACCCTGGACAGTTCACCATTCTACTGTAGTGCTAACGCAGAGAGACAGACAACCAGTCACACTCACAATCATACCTATGGGCGTCTTAGAATAGATAATTTTGATCAATAAACTTTCCTTATTTACACATGCGCCATGGTAAAGTCTTTCTTTGCTTATGACTTCTTGATGTTGGTAAATACAATAAGTGAAAAATATATAATGTCAGCACAAATGACCAAACATCCTCCAGCTTCTGCCTCCACAAGGGCACCAAGTAGGGATGCCCACTCTCTGTCATGTCTCCAGGATCTCTAGGATGCCTTTGTTGTTGTTGTTGTTTTTTTTGCTGTTCACCCCTACTCACCAGGGAGAAGCCAGATCAAGCTCCTTGCCTCTGTCCTCACTTATGCTGTACTCACCTGTAACCCATCTACTGTGATCACTCATCTGCCATTCATCACAGATGATTGTTCCCTGCATTACTTAAGACCTCAGTGGAGTCTACTTCTTTGCTGGATCATTGTGCTAACCAGTGTCAGTGTAGCCTCGGCTCGCTAGTTGATTCCTCATTTATATCTTCTCTTTGAACAGACGTTCCTGGACCCCTGCCTGTTTCTCCTGCCCTGTGGACCTTGAGTGGATGTGAGTGAGCGTGAGTGAACTTTAGTGGATTGGATTTGAGGTGCTTGTGAGTCCGCGGACTGTGTGAAGAGGAGTGTTGACGTTTCATTGCCCTGGACATTCTCCCCTGGATTCCCTGGAGCCCCTCTTCCCCTGCCTCACTGTTTATATGGATATATTTCACCTTGAGTGCATCTGTAAATAAACCCCTTTCACGTTTCACTAGTTTTGGGTCCTGTGACTGAGTCCTGCACTTAAGAAACCTTGACACTCTCCCCTTCACTGTTTGCAATTTTTATCGAACCACTAGCAATAGCAATTAGACAGTCTATAGTGATTAGGGGATAAAATGCAAGAACGTAGAACATAAAATCAGTCTTTATGAGGATAATGTGTTACTTTTTCTCCAACACTCAAACCACTCTGAGGTAATCACATTACTAAACTCTTGAGAAAGAGTTTCAGAAGGTTTGATAATTTGGTTAAAATCTACAGTTCATACGATTAATTGCTCCTTTCATACTTCTACCCCACTTCAACCTGGAAACATTAAATATTTAGGTATTAATGCCTCCCCTACGCTTGCAGATTTAACTAAATTAAACCACATCCCACTTTTAAAGAAAATAGAAGATGATCTGGCTAGATGAAGCGCCTTGAGGCGACTTATGTTGTGATTTGGCGCTATATAAATAAAATTGAATTGAATTGAATTAGATGGAAATCTCTACCCATATCACTCATGGGTCGCTTCAATAAAAATAATGGTCTTTCCAAAAATCTATTATTTATTTTCAATGATTCTGAGTAAACCATCACCAGACTGGTTTAGATCACTACAGAGGACCAAGGATAAAGGAGGACTAGGTCTGCTTAACTTTCAATACTACCTCTGAGCCAGCTGGCTACAATTCATCTCAAGATGGTTTCACTTTCCTTTACTTGTGTTTATCTATGGTTGTTGCAACAGCCCTCTTAAGTAAGTATGCTCTCACCATTTTAAATGCTTTGGTGCATCAATAGAACACAAGCCATATAAC